TCATTTAATTTTATGTCTTATAGGGTTTATACAGAGTACAATATTGTATAACCGTATTAATTCAATGTAAACCTAAAAACTTACAGCTAATTTTGAAACAGATGCATCTTAGCTCAGGCAATTGTTATTGAATATGTCAATGCTGTTGTAATGAAATGCTTCTTCTAATTATATGGTTATTAAATAAATAATTTTAAAAAATTCCTTGCCTTGTTTTAGTAAAGAGCTCCTGCACAGTGTTCATAAAGGTATTAATCATACAATACCACAACAGTGCTTATACAAGAAATGCATATGGAATGCTGTTTCATATTCCACAACACTATTATGGATAGGGTTGGATACTGCATTTACTAACAGAAATCATCATCTAATTGTAATTTTCTGAATTACGGCTTGTTCACAGCCAGCCCTCTTACAGCAGACTGTGGTGCACTATGTACTATTCTTTTATAGTATATTCTACTTTCATAAACCAATGAATCCCTAAAGTTTCATGAACTGCCTGGTGATCATACATGCACTATGACTAAAATTCATAGGGAATTATGATCATGCAAAGCTGATTGTTATAGAAAACTGTAAGAAATTTTCAAGCGGGCTTCTTGCTATGTGTTCTCTAAAATGCAGACTAGTACTATGGGGAGAAAACAAGTCAAAAATGAAGGCTACATTGCTATCTCCTGTCACAGGCCTGCCACCTTACCCAAAGATCACAGTTCTTTGACAGAGCCATCCATTCCCCTAAAAAACATAGGTTGGGAGTGTTTCTTTAAAATATATATATATAACTTAAAACTATATTGTGATAATGGGATACAGTTGATTTTAGGTTGCTAAGTTCAGATTCCAACAGCTGATCTGCTAGTGACACTGAATGGTTACATATAATAGTTGTTAGGGCTGAGGAAATTGGAAGCAAGCAAGCCAGTACTTTTTTTCCCCCCACTCATATACTGAGATAGGTGTTCTCCAGGGATGGTACTAGTTCACATAGCTTGACGACATGATTGCCCTTGTTTAGCACTTCATGGAACACTACTAACAGCCTTGCACTGAGAAATGATTCTCTCCTTATCAGTCGTGTGGGGAACACTTGATAATCTCCTCTTTCATCCTACAGAAATAAATCTACACCTAACACTACAGAATCAATAACATATCAATGTTTCTAACTACTCTGCATGGATTGCACTGTGTACAACTCTGTCCAAAGCCAAGAGTTTTAGATCATATCAGTCTACTGCAGCAATAATGTAGCCTGCAATACGTCATTACTGCATGAATCAGGAGGCATATGCTGATATTATGAATTCCAGACTGAAACCATGAAGTGACAGTGTTGCCCAATGACAGAAGCTGCTGACAAGAAAGAGCACACCTCAATGGAACAGCAATTACAGGAACCTGAAGAACTCTAAATACATGGCAGATGAAATATACTAAATAACAATCACACAGTCAAGTCATCTCTTTGGGAGCATTATTCACCTTCAGTTAGAAGCACAGGGCCCAGTTCTTTCCTTTTATTGTGGTAAATGTTAAACATCTTAATGAAACATTAAAGAATTCATGGGGGGCCAGAGAGATGGCTCAGTGGTTTAGAGCAGAGGATGCTCTTACAGAGGACCTGGGTTTGATTCCCAGCACCCACATAGTGGCTACAAGCTGTCCTTAAGTCCAGTTCAAGGGGAATTTGATGCCCTCTTCTGACCTCCGAAGTCATTGCATGACATGCATGCACTTATATACATGCAGGTAATATACTCATTCACATTTTAAAATGAGATTTCAGGAAGCAAAATCCATCTTCACAGTTTGTAAAAAGTTAAGCTAAACTCTGAAAACACACACTGAGATTTGACAGACATATTAACTCATAGATCTTTTCATTTTCCTTAAAAAATTAAATACATGGTTATGCAATTAAGTCGTCACCATCAAGTCAATACAGGCTATAAATGGTTTGCCCGTTTTTGCCAATATATTATCCATGCATTCCCATAAGAACTCTGAAAAAGTGGAGAACTTGGTATGACTGTGAGAAGTTTTTGAATTCTGTAAGTTACCAAATACCATTCAAAGCTTTAGGAAAAGAAAGAAGATACAAAAATTTAAAAATCTAGTGATGCATTTAAACCAACTAGAGCCTATCACAAATATAAAATAATTTATATCACTGAAAGCAATGAACATTTGTTAACAAAAGGGGACTAGTAACACAGGAAGTCTGAGAACAAGAACAGATGTGTGGCTCAAACGTACTAAACCCTGTTAGCCAACCAATATTTTTTAAGAGAAACAAATCAACTAGCCTCTGAGTAATAATGACATCACAATTTATTCTTCTTGAGCTTATTACTTTCCATGATAGAATATCAACCTCTCATAGTTGAGCTCTCTTAAACATAGAGCACTTCTACATGATTAAATGTGACACTTGACAGGCTACAAGAAGAGCCTTCCACAAATCTTTAAACATGGACTGACAAGATGTATTGTACAGGTTTATCTTACCGTAAAGCTTTTGGGCCAAAGTACATAAAGAGCTCCTTCCCCAAAGTTTCTACGCCACTGTAAGCACACCCATTAAACAGTCTCAAGAAATTCCAGTCAAAATCCTCATTGTTATTCACTGCAGCAACCTAGTAAAAAATATATACATATGTAAACACACATACAAACTCTAAACAAAATTACAATGTGATTGTTAAATGTATTCCTACTACTTCATGCCCAGACATATTCCAACAACAACAAAAAATAATCCATAAGAAGTCAAATAATGCAATCATCTACATATAATTTGTCAAGCTACTATGTAGTCACTGGAAAGTAGTTAAAATTTTTAATTGGGAAAATAAAAGAAATTGGTAGGTAATTAAAATGATATTTTTCTAAGACCATATATAAATAAAGCTTTGCACATGCGACATCATGGGAAAGCTATGCAAATGCTGTCAAACTAACAACTAGAATATCACTTCTTCTGTTTCCCAAACAATATATATTCATGTTCCCTGAAAAACTATTCAGATTAAGCTGTTAAAAATGATGGTTAAAATATAAAAACAAAATTCTTTAGCTCTACTGATAAAATTTTAGGCAAGTAAGGAATACTAGATCAAAATCCAAAATAAAAGTAGGAGAGACCTGGCAGCCTTAAAGCCAGTTTTCATCATAAATGCATTTATGAGACCTAAGGAATGAGAGACCTTCAGTTCCCATAGTCTTACCACAGGTAAGAAAGCCTGGGGTCTACTGGGTAGGAAAATCTAACCCAAGATCTGCCCCACTCAAACCACAGTGTCAACACAGGAAGAGTAAATCCATTTCCCCCTTTCCTCATCAGTCTCTCAAAACCAAACATTGCATGTATGGAATAGTATAAGAAAATTAATATAAACAATGGTAATGTTCTTAATCTGGGCAGTAGATAGATAGTATTTCTTATATCATGTTTTATTGTTTAGATATGATTTATAAGCACTGTTTAATTCATATTCAAAATTTAATAAAAAATTATAAATATCTATTGTAGATGATAAAATCAGTGTATATGATATCTAAACATTTTTAGTTGTATTTATGTGTGTATGCCTCTGTGAGTGTATGCACACGTGTACAGGTGCATGCACTACACATGCGCAGAGGCTAGAAAAAGGCATTGGATGTCCTTGAGAGCATTCTTTGCCAATTTTCCTTTGAGGTAGGGTCTGTCTCTGAACCTGGGGCTCCCATTTTTTCAACTTGAGTGGAAGACAGCTAGCCCCAGAGATCCTCCCCTCTCTGATGGGTTACAAACATTTGTAAGGGCACTGAGTTTCTTAGGTGGGTGCTGGGCTCTGAACTGGGGTCCTCAGGATTTTGGAGTAAGCCTCTTAACCACTCTAACTCCCCACACATTAACTCTTAATCTAGGATAATTTGTCATTTACCTCCAACTTCTTTTTCATTATTCTTAAATGGGCTATGAATGGTCAGAAGCTTCTAAATGAAGTAAGTAGTAGGGGTAGGGAAACAGTTCATCTTGTACTCAATTTTGGTGAAATCATGCTGTTCTATCATTTTATAGTGTCATTGCAAATGTTTAAGGTGATATGCCTATCTTACTAAACTAGTTTTTGTTTAAAAAACATACTGCTTATTTCTGAGAATAATAAGAAAATATTGAAGATTAAGAACTTTCTTCTACTATCCAATTTTATAATGGATATGGCTCATGCCAGAATTTTCCAACTGCCTAACATTCAGGGATCTTTAAAGGGCTTTAAGTTCCTCCTTTTGTAGTAAGTACTAGGGAATTAAACACAGGCTTGGAATGATTAAAAGTAAAAGCCTTCCAATTCTGCATAAATCATAGGAAGAAACTAGTGGATTCTAACATCAGGACCTATTGGTACAGATATCACCCAGTCCTCAGAACTTCAGCTTTTGATTTCTCTTTCTTAGATGAACTCAAGGGCCTATCAATGACTATCAAGTCCAGGAAGGCAGGCTTGAGACTCGGTGAGGAAAAAACATTCCTATCTGCTTTGCTTTTAAAAATGAATATGTGAATGTTTTGAATTGAGAAGAAGGGTTTTGCTTTTCTGCCTCATGGGGACTTCAAGCCACTTGTGTACACTTCAAGTCAAGTATAGACTACAATAACAGGTTTCAAGGTAAGTTTCCATAACAACCAATTAGTATGTACAAAAGTCTTGAAATTAGCTAAGATGCTTTTAAGATGGTGATATACAGAGCAGATATAGCTCTATGTTAAATAACTTCTGTCTAACTATAGATTGGATCACACTTTCAGGGTCTCAGATTTAAAGTCTTATTGTCATTTTAAACTTTCATTTATAAACGAATGGCTCAGAGCCTTGTTTCTCCACCATCCCCATGTCAACTATCTCTTATCCTGCCCTATAAATTCTTCATTAGGAACCGGTTTTAACCCAACTTTCTGAAGTTTTCTGTTAGGGCTTCCAGCGGAGTATAGCTGATGAACTTTATTCCAGCTAATATATACACACCACAACACACACACACCTCACAAACACACACACACACACACACACACATACACACACACACACACACACACACAGAGAGAGAGAGAGAGAGAGAGAGAGGGAGTCTAACAAGTCTAATAGGTTTCCCTACTTCTTGTTCAAAGAGAAACGGCTATCTAGGCTTTGAGCTAAATATTTTACACATTCATTACCAAACTTAACATCTCTCCAATATCTGATTCACTGATTAAAATTCTTTAGTCATCTGCCACATCACTGTTTATCACTATAGGGCCCTAAACCACTTTGGCCCACTTTCCCTTCTTCCTAAAATGGGAGATCACATGGCTAGATGCGCTGACTCACTACCCGTCTACTTATTCCATCAGGCTTTCTCTCCTTTACCCAATTCTGACTTGTTTTATAAAGGTTCTTGGCAAAGAGACACAGACAAGGTAACCTTGAAATAAATGATGCTGTCACAGTACCTAATAAAACAGTAAATGAGTCCCAACTGTCTCATGTGAAGTCTGTTCACATTGCTAAATTAGGAGCTTTGACAAGAACTTACACCATTTACGTAAAAACTGTAGAAGCCAACAAGTATGACAGTTCATGTGATTCCCTTGGCTTTGTCTACAAATCACATTCTGACAACCAAAGTGGTACATGACATCTAAAAAGACAATTCTCACCACTAAAAATGGACAATTCATGGCTGTTTAATTGGGTTACTTTATTTCAGAGAAGTTTATTGACCTACCTATATGTTTCAGGTTTTGTTCTAGGAGCTGGGGATGCATAAATAAGTAAAACAAATTAACCTACCCTGTTGTGATGGAGTTTATAATCCAGTAGGGGAAAAGACTAGTCAGCAAGTTTAAGAACACAGTTTCTTAAGACATTTGGAAAAGAAATGGAAATGAGAAAGAGATCAAGGTTGAGGGAGGGTGTAACAGGTTGCAGTACTAAAAGGGGAAACCATAATCTCGTTGAGGAATTGGCATTTGATTGAGCAAGTTTTAAATGAGCTGAGGGAGTGAGCCATAATTCAGGCAAGAGGAATGGTGGTGCAAAGGCCTTTGCTGTGTCACAGGCTAGTGTGGTCACTGCACAGTGAACAAGATGGGGGGATAGGACAGATAAATGAGTTTTGGTATTTAAAAGGAATCAGATTGTGCGCACCAAGAGGTTCAATTTAAGAGTGGCTTCTTCTCTGACAGTAATGGAGTGGAGCAAAAGTATGATCTACATTCGTATTTTAAATGTGCCCTGTGGCTGTTTGATAGAATTTTGACTGACACAGTTGAAGATAAAAGCCAAGAAATTACTTAAAAGACATTGCTAAAAATCTAGCCAAAAGATGAGAATCTGAACCAGTAGAGATGGTAGAAGGAGTAATAATGGCCAGATTTTTTAACATATTTTGAAAAGCAAGCAGAGCATTTGTTGATGGATTGAATGTATGGAGCAGGGCAGACAGGGGTCTAGGATAATTGGCTTTGGGCCTGAATTAACAGGAGAGAGAAAAGCCACCAAAAGACTTGAGGAGAGCAGAACTGGGAGGGGAAGCATGGGTTTGGATTTAGGCAGGTTAAGGTTGAGATGTCTATTAGGAAAACATCAAGAAGACAGATATGGAAGTCTGGTGTTTAGGAGATATATTGAGCTGAAGTCATAAATTTCTTGAGAGATCTGCACAGAATTCATGTCTAAAATTGCAGTGTTAGATGAAATAGAGAGGATTATGTGCAGATAAAGAGCAAAGGCCCAGTTTATTGGGAATGAGAAGAACCAGCCAAGAAGTCTTAAGATGTCAGGGAAAAGAGGACAAGGAGGCAACAAAGGAGACTAAGTGGGCAGCTAGCAACCCAAGAGCAAAACCAAACAAGTGTGGCATCCCGGAAGCCCATGGAAAACGTTTCAAGGAAGAGGGCATGCCAAAGGTCACTGAAAACCAAGCAAAAAGAAGACTGGTTTGGACCCTAGACTCCGCCACATAAGAGCAATTACTGACAAGAGTTTTAAAGATGTGATGGGGGAAAAAAAACTAGTTTGAGCACCAGGTTTCAGAGGTAATATAGAATAGAAATTACTGTAGGAAAGCAGAGTGACTACACATTATTTATAGAATACAGAAATGGGGGAATATGAGAAGTTGAGATAAGGAAGGTTTTGTTTGTTTCAAGATGATACATGCTTATGTATTGATGGACAAGAGTCAGTAGAGGAAACCAGTCACCAGAGAGAACAGCTGCATCATCATCCTTAATAGGCAAGAAGAGATGGTATATTAGTTACTTTTCTGTTGTGCTAAAACACCATGACCATGGTAAGTCACAGAAGAAAGAGTTTATTTGAGCTTACAGTTCCAGGATAAGAGTCCATAATAGGGGCTGGAGAGATGGCTCAGAGGTTAAGAGCACTGACTGCTCTTGCAGAGGACCTGGGTTTGATTCCCAGCACCCACATGGTGGCTACGAATCATCCTTAACTCCAGTTCCAGGGGAATCTGAAGTCCTCTTCTGACCTCTGTGGCATTGCATGACACAGGTGCACTCACATACATGTAGGCAATACACTCATAACTTAAAATAAAAATAATAAATATTTTTTTAAAAAAGAAAAAGAGTCCATAATGGTGG